AGCTTGTTCTAAGTAGGTGCTTTAGACCACTGAGCCATCTCACCAGCCCCTGTACTATCTTCTATACTGAAAACTTTGATAATTTTGATCTGCTTTGATTCCTGATTCTTTGTATTATAGTTTTTTCTCTGTAGAAGCATTTAGAATAGTCTCTTTCCTCCTACTGTCCTAGAACATTGTAAAGAGGGGCCTCGGTGAAGGTCAGCTTTCATCTAGTGTTGTGGGCATTTAAGGGACAGTTTTAGTCTGGAAATTCGTATTATTTGGTTCTGAAATTTTTTCTTATACTTTAAATCAACTTGTTATGTTCTCTAGGTATTCTCGTTATGGCATTCAGATACATGTATTGCGAATATGTTTGCTCAGTTTGTGGCTTACCATCTCATTAATATGTTTTTCAAAAGCAAAAATTTTAAATTTTCATGAAGTTCCATTTAACAATTTTATGAGTCATGTACTTTTTGTTTATTTATTTATTTATTTATTTATGTGTGTGTGTGTGTGTGTGTGGCCAGCTCAGCCCACCAGGGGGCGGGGCTGGCTGGCATGTGGTGCTGGGGATTGAACCGCGGTCTCTGTGCTTTGCTAAGCTTGTTCTAAGTAGGTGCTTTAGACCACTGAGCCACTTCACCAGCCCCAAGTCATGCACTTTTGATACCATAAATCTTTCATTAGTCCATTTTTCTAGAAGTTTTATGTTTTAACACTTAAATATACATTTTGAGTAAATTGGATTATATTGTTCCTTTGTGTATTATTTGAAGGATATTTTATTTTTTATCCAGTTGTTCTACCAATATCTGTTAAACAGATTATCCTTTCCTCATTAAATTACATTGAAATTTGGTTATATGTGTAAGTTTAGTATAAACTCTGTTTTTGTTTCCTTGATCCCTATATCCATTCCATGCCAATGCCACATTGTCTTGATTGTTTTAACTTTAAAGTTGTACAATAAGGCAGAGTAATTTCTCCAATTTTTTATTTTTTTATCCAATGTTTCACAGTATTCCGGGTCCCTTGCTTATAAAGTTTAGAATCAACTTGTTAATTTATGAAAGAAAAAGATGATATTTTAATGGATTATGTTCAATGTATAGATCTGTGTGAAAGGAATGATCTCTACAAGATAGGCTTCCAAACATGTTCAAATGGGAAGGGGAAAAGGAATGGAAACTTTTTTTTTAAAGATGATGGAAGGGGAAAAATGGAAACAAAGCTTTTGGAGATGAGGAGAAGAGTTAAAAGGAGGAGAGGGGCATTAAGATATATTATGTACAGGTAAAAAATTCTCTGATGAATGTGATCAATGTGTACGACAAGTATGTACTAATAAAAAATGAAGTTAAAAAATAAAAAAGAAAAGAAAAGGTTAATATTTAAGGGAAATTATGCTGATATGGTGACAGGTATATTGACAGCGAAGTTTAAATACAAGCAAAACAACTTGTTAGTATAGCCTGAAGTCATTTGGTAAAAGAGAGCTATAAACTTACACTTTAGGATGTTATATATTTAGAAATATATATTTATATTGCTAAATATATATTTAGCAAGGTCAATTTATAAACATCACAGATATTCAACTTCTTGCAATAACTATGCTTGCAATAAGAGTTAACCCATTTATTATTTCATCATGCCAATCATTTTTCTAAGTACTGAACATTTTATCTACTCATTTAATAAATTCTGACAATCCTACAATGCAAGTATCACTATCACACCCCACTGTATGGATTATGAACAGAAATGACACAGTTGAGAAAGTGACAAGAGTTCACCTCCCAACTTGGCAGTTGGCTTCAGAATCCATCTGCTTAACTCAAAAACTATTATACTGCTCTCTGCGACGAGCTATCAGTCATAAAAAAATAAAGTGTAGTATGATCTAAACGTGAATGCTCAGCCCAGGCATCATACAAGACCCCTCTCAAATGTTCTTTTAAAACTGTTCTGGGGGAAAAACAAGCTATTATCATGTATAGGAACAAATTCTCTATGATGAATGTGACTGATATATACATATTTAAAATGTACCAATAAAATACAATGTTAAACAAACAAACTGTACTATGACATCCTACCATCTGGAGGAAATCTGGAGATCAAAGGCCATCCTTGACTCTGACTCCAACCTGTATTTCTATTTATTCATCTCCTGTGATTCTAAACCAAGCCAGACTTCCAATGTGGTTTGTACAACAGAGCCTGCTCATGTCACTGTTAAAGGCCATTCCTTCAATTCTTTACCTAGAAAATGTCGGGGCTGGAGAGATGGCTCAGTGGTCTAAAGCACCTACTTAGAACAAGCTTGGCAAGGCATCAGGGACCGCGGTTCAATCCCCCAGCACCACATGCCA